ATCTGGTGGTGAAATCATGTGTACATGTCTCTGGAGCTCCTCAAAGAATTCCTGGAACGTCAACGATGTGACGCGTTCCTGTTATTCCTTTGCAGCAAAAGATTATTCCAAGCATGAAAACTAACATGAACGCTTCCTACGTGGAGGACTCAGATCAAGGAGCAGCTGATTTCGAATATTCAGTTCCAGTATGTCATCTTAGATAATGCTAGACCTCACAAACGAGCCTCGGCTCCAGATGACTTTCCTAACGTTCACCTGAAGTTTCTGCCGGCATATTCGCCTTAATTTCCTGAATCCGACAAAACATGCACGAATCACCCATCAGAAGTGCTTTGCGTAGTTTCGCATACTTGTCAGATGCCTAAGGAGAGAACTTATCGATGGGTAGAATCAGTGTCAATGTTCACATGTTTTCCATTGCATAATAAAATAATGATTCACAAAAAACCCAATGCATTTATGCCCTTTCCTTCCCTTACCTAATCCTCAGACTCATTAATTCCCAAAAGAAAAGATTCCCTTGCGCTTCCGAAATTGAAACGGCGAATGCCGAAATCGAAAGTTACCTGCCGAAATTGAACGGAAAATTCGGGAGGAGAGAGGAGCGCTGCCGAAACTGAATGGGAAAACGGGAAGGAGACAGGAGCATTGCCGAAATTTAAACGGTCGCTGCCGAATTTGAATGGACTTTTGCCGAAATTCGTCGGGAAAACCTATAGTATTTTTCTCAGGCTTGTTCGACTGATTTAGGATGTTAATACTGTGAACGTCCGTAGGATGTCGACCAAGGAGGGGGAAGCTTGCTGTCTGGCAGTTCCTAGAATGTCAACGAGGTTGCACTGAACTCTTACACGTACTGTATATGGATTCCCTCGGTGCTACTGGATAGTAATGTAGTCAGTTTAATCCTATAGGGTAAGCACCCCAATTTCTGGCCGGTCTCCAGTTGTTGGCCAGTGAGGCTTAAATGCAGCATAGTTAATCCGTTTTCAAGCATTCTATCATCTTCCTGTACGAGGACCTGTTATTAGTGTTTCCCGGTGTCCTATGGAAGTCGTATCAGCGTGGCCAAAAACTGGGGTGTTTACCCTGCTGGATCTTTTCCCCAAAAGTACACGGAAGGGGGGGAGAAATTATACTTCATTCAGGCATCAATACTACTTTCGGAGTGTTTGTGTGTGTCCTTTATGCGCCGCCACGCCATTGATCCTTGTCACACCAAACTTTGCATGGCTTCCTCGATTGGTCTGGGGATGGTCATAGGCTAGGTGGCGTTTCAAAATTCTAACCCCCCGGGGTACCTTAGCTAGTTTGTTAATAAAGGAAACCCAGCTGACGGAGACTCCAGGCAATTCTTGCTCAGTGAATGGAGAAAGGACGGTTCACCTTGTGACCCCACTCCAGGAGCAATTCCTTTTTTAAGCTCGCATCGCATGAATCACATCATTCCCAGGTCCTATGGCTTGGATTACGCGAGAAACATTATGATAACCCAGTTGAAGGGTTACTGTTACCTTGCATTGCATTAGTTTATGGAGTGAAACTAATACAAGAAGAGGTATAATCCTAGCCCCTTATGGCTTCATAAAACTTTATAAAAAGAGAATAAGAATAGTTTTTAGAGTAGGAACATAGCTAGTGAGGCACAAAATTGGAAACTCTGCATGTAGGTGCGAATAAGAGATTTAATGTTTCCAAAGGTTTACCTGGTAAAACATGGTGCGATTGCCTACTGCCTGAAGAGTTGCGAAACGCACCATTGGATTATAAAAGTTTTTGAAGGATAAGAGGCAAAGAAAAATTTTAAAAAATCAAATAAATAAATGCATAAACTGATAACCCATAGTGAGTTTAGGATGTAGCTTATGGTGTGGAGCAGATATAAATGAAAAATATAAGTAAGTCTACAGGGAGATTCCTTTTCTCTCTAACCCTTCCCCTGTGAGAACTACCTAAAACCCTACATTATCCTGGTGCATCACTTGAACGAAGTTTCAGGAATGTGCATAGTCACAGTCATATTTATTGTATTTCTAAAAAAAATTATTGAACCACTTAAGAGGGCATTCAAGGTATGGCCTGCAGGTCAGGTTCATCATATCACATATTTTACGTTCAAGTATTGTATCCTAAGCGTAATTTTAAATTGCATATCTCACGCGTTTCTCGTTTATACTTTTTTTTTTGTTGGGAAGGGGGGGGGGGGGGGGGGGCGTACCTGAGGAGAGGATTTGTCTCTCACGCTCAACATTCGTTTACGCTTGGCGAATCCTTGGAACCACTCCGAAACTTCGGATAACCCTGCACTAAACGCAAGTAAAAAAACACCATCCTACACTGTGGTCTGCCAGAAAATGGATGGGGCCTGCACGGGTTCATATATGGGCACCAGAGAAATGACCAACTGCTCCTTTTCACTATGACGAACTACATCACCAAAACATCAAAGCTCACTCATGCAAACGATGAGTGACAAGCTTTGCTGTTACTATGGCCTCAGTAACCATACTGGCAACTGGTGGCCCAGGAAATAATGTACAGCATTCTTTGGAAAGTTGTTTGGCAGTGGCAAACGTTCATTTGCATGCCATGTTGAATGTGCCCTTCATTTTGACGATGCACTTCCTGCAGTCGCGGAACAATGTTGGCTACGACACGTCGGCATAAAACCTCACTGATCCTACTGAAGATTTCCACTTTTCGCTGGCGTAGTTCGGTCAATGTACCTGGAGTGAACACAACGCTCTTTAAAACCCCTCTCAGTATAGTCACAATAATCTCAGATTGAAATGAGGACTGTGCGGTTGCCACGATCCTGCATGACCCATTTGAAGATCGAGTCATCTCTCACAGATTTCCAGAGCGACACTCTGCGGCAGATCCTGGGTGGGTCTTGACTTTTGACAAAATTGACAATTTTTTATGTTTCAAGGACATCTGAATCTTGGGCCTGGGAGAAAGGACAGAAAAGGCAATAGAATCTAGTAGGAGTCAGAGCTGTATTCATGGAAGATGGAGGGACTGAGTTGTATTTTTAAATACAAAATATACAGGTTGTCCAGTCCTAGAAAGCATCAGGCGGCACGAACTCTTCATGAGGTGCCTTTTTTATTTTAAATAACCTGTCAAAGTCCTGCTTCATTTTCGTCACGAATATGACTTTTGGGAAGCAGAAAGGAGAGGAGGGAATAAGTATGACATAAGACTTTTGCTTCTCTCTGTGGATTGAGTAGTTCTTTCTGGAACTGAACGAACGAATATGGTCCATTCATTTTGGGAAGAGTTAGTTTCCTACCTTTCAAAGGTTGATTGTTGTCATGCTTAATGAATAGCAAGGATGAAAAGAGGGCAAGCAATTAGAACCTTCTGAACCTGCCCTGTTGAGTGGCATTTCAGGGATTCGAAAAAGGCATATTCTCTATATTTTGTCAACCATGATTCGCTGTAACAATACTGCTGCCAGGACGCTCTCTCGGGAAACTCCGGTCTATGGGAAACCACTTTAATCCTGAAAGATCGAGCACGAGGACACTAATCCAGTTGGGTTGCACTCCGTACTCGTTTGACCCAAGCAGTAAGCAAGTTGAAATACACTCTTAACAAAAGGAAGTAACATTCGCTAACTCCAACTTTTTCTCCCTCTGAACTCTTTGCTCACTCTTTCCTAATTGAGTGCAACCGTCACCAAGCACTGTCTTCATACCAGTTGTTTAAGTCTTAAATTTAGAAAGAGAATCTTAATGCCCTACACCAGGGGTCGGCAATTGAATTTCTCGGAGGGCACTAGAGCAGAATGCTGCACGTTCGCGTGCCAATGCCTATCAAGTGTGATTTAAATGTTCATGTTAATGAACGTCTATATCGGACCATGTGATAGCCGGGCCTTCACGGGCCAAAGGTAGAGGGAAAAGGAGCTTCCGCAGGCTGCCTGTTACTGTCCCACTGCGTTAAACCGTAATTAGTGTAGTAGAATTAGGGGAAGGGGGGGGGGGGGGTTGCTTAAGCGAATAAATACAGTAAAAGTAGAGGCCGCTAGGGACTAAGACACTCACCAAGTCTATAGTATCCAGAGATTCAATTGATGCAGGTTCTGAATCATTCATTTTTTGTGCTTGAAGCTGCAGAGTACCTTTTATCTTATCGCTCACACTTGGAAATTCGCTGAGGTCCTAGCGTTCCTTTTTTGCACCGACTGCTGTCACAGAAACGTGACACCTTGCAGGCGGTTTTAAAACTCTCATGTAGTCACTATGGACAATTTGAAAATATTCATTTGTAAATTACTGCTAAGTGGCACAGACTTGAGCAACAGGTGGGACGTTCTAATTTCTGGAATTACTTCACCTTCATGCATCTCACTGTGTGAGTAGGTCCAATTTGGAAACACCTTTTTGCAAGCATTCAAGAGTTCCTCTAAAGCAGGGGTGTCAAGCATACGGCCCGCCGTCTGTTCTTGAAATTTCCGCCTGGGTTGACTGCTAGCACAAATTTCAGGGGAAAATTATGGGTGCGGCCCGCAGGCATCTGCAGGGTAAGGAATGCGGCCCGACGACCGATTTGAGTTTGACACCCCTGCTCTAAAGAATGCATCCACTTGCACGAGAGTTGTCATACTTCATCGACCCACTTACGTCTCAAAAGAGTGGTTTAATGACGCAGAGTCGAATGGTCTACTACAGTGGCGACTCGTGATATTCAGCAGTAGTGGATCGTCAATGGAAGCAAGGTAGGCCCAGGCCTACCTTACCTCTATTGACAATCCATTATTGCTGAATATCACGAGTCGTCCATGGTCTACTATAGGAAGACGCAACACTTAAGAGGATTAGAGAGGATTAAAGAATTGAGTCATGTACATAGTAGGATCTTTAGTAAAATAAAGTTAGTAGTTTCCTCAAATCTAAGCAGAGGAGAGTGAGACAAGACGATATTGAATACGGCCCCTAGCTTAACGCCATAATTAGCATGCAAAGAACACTATGCCAGAAGGCAAGGGTGACATCGGATGGAAAGAGTGAATATTTATTATCATGAGGGCGTACGCTTAGGGGTACAGAAACGAGAGAAACTAGGCTAGGGAACAACAGTATCACAATGAGCAACGAATGCACATGTCATCGCAACTATGAACTCACTGGGGAGAAGGGGAGAGATGTCTCCCACGCAAACCACCGTGACTAGACGGTCACCTAAGACGACATGACATAACATCAGACAGGCTAGGAGGCAGCACGATGACTCACCACCCCTCTTTTTCGGTACTGCCTTGCCAGCCGCCAGGAATAAGCCACAACATCCACCTCCAGAAGAAAGCGGCTAATGCCTTGGCAACGCCATCATCTTTCGATCATGGTCATAGTTAAAGTACGGAGAATTAATATCAAGATGCCATAACTTTCAGGCCATCGCCTGGAAGATGGTGAAACTCACGATTTCAACCATAGTTAAGAAGATAATATCAAATAATCACAAGGGCGGAAAGTCGTTTCAATGTTCCACTTTGACCAGATCCTTGTCTGACATGCATCATGATGGAAAGAGCAAAGTGATGCGAATTTTAGAGCTGCAAGGCAAAGGGAATAGTGAATCTGTCGATTTCTCCTCATTCATCATGAGAATGCACACGCGAGAATAACAATGCACTTTTAAAGAATCAATCACTGGTTCCCAGTTTTGGGGATTCAGAGTTTAAACATTTTATCATGGTTCATTGCCAGTGAGAAAAAGGCTCTGGTCAAGTCGAGTACTTGGAAGTGGTTTTCCACACTTCTACCCACACAGCGCGGCTCATGATCGTAGGCTATCCATGCATGAATGTTACCACATATAATTAACTGTTCAAGCAACTTCTTTTTCTCTTGCTAGTACAGAATGTCCATGAATGCTTCCCATGGGGAACTTTTCCGTATGAGAGTAAGCATAGTTAAAAATTTACATGCATTTTGGACTAGTCATTTACATTTCAGGACAGTGGCCATTCAATCCAAGTATAAGCATGAGGTTTCCATAAGAGCAAAGAAAACCATGCTGACTTCATTTGTTATCTCCTTAGAGCTGGCATAGCAATGATTTTATTTTGAATCAGTGAATGCAATATTTTTTTTTATTGATGCGAACAAAGGCAATGCTTATTGCAGACTTAAAAGTGAAGGGGAGACAATGCAAAATCTCAGACTAAGCTACAAAATAAATCAAAATTCTGGATTTAACTTGATTTTTTTTTAGCTCTATTCAAAAGGTCTTAAGGTAAGAAGCTTTAGTGGCTATATATATATTTTGCATTCACTGGTTTGAAATTGAACCATTAGGTGTGACAGCTCAGTGGAAAATTAGTTGAAAGTTTAATTTTCAATATTTTCTGTTTCCAAGAGTTTACATCTTGATTGAGTGACTGTTGTACCAGAAAGTAGAAATGAACAGTCCCATCTATATTAATTTCATATAATAAAGGTTGAAGAAGGAAGGAACTTCATAGACACCCAATATCTATCTTTCTGGTATATTGGACATTTGTGGCTGGAATTGCACAGATGATGAGAAAAAAGGCCAGCATCAGATGGAAAGACTAACAGTTGCAGTGCTAGCAAATGCATTAGTATTGGCATGGATCAATTTTGCTATCAAAATGAGTCTCTGCATGAGTGCTTTGTTTTGACTTAGCTTCAGGGTGGAGGTGGGTGATTTTGTGTGTAGGATGGATCCTACTTCCCCAGTTTCACCCAACTTGTCCCATTTATTACACTCTAGAACCACTTCTTACCCACATGTAAAAAATTGTTCTACATGAAATCAAACTAAACAAAGTCCATGCATTACTTTGACCCTGATTTCAAATGTTTGCACTAAGGCCAGAGCTTGCAGTTTCTTCAAGAAGCCATGCAAGAAAGAATTACATTGGGAAAGAATAGGTGATAATTGGTCTTCAAGAGGGAGTCTAGTCAAACTTGTCAGGTTAACATAGAAGATGCCATCATGCCTCTAGATAACTGCATTGACAAGGTCCCATTTACCTACAGCAAAAGACCAGTGGCCATTTGCTGGGGAACAAGGTACCAGGAGTGAAGCAGCAGCACATGCATCAAGTCCAGCTGATGCAGGCAGAGGGGGGAATCATGATCATCATCGCTGTGCGTCCAGACTACCCCTACAACCATGATACTGTAGATACAGGATGACTTCAATCATCATTATTGTAGCAGCAGTAATGATCAAAAGGTGATAGCATAGCCATGGCATGAGAGAAAGCGCAAATTGAGGTAGTACCCTTCATCACAGGGTATACCAGGAGTCTAAGTGAATCCAATGACCTCAAGAACTTTGATCTGGAAATCAGACTCCGAGCATAGTGGGGGATTCTCGAATGTCTGGCAACTTTCTGTCTTCCCATAACATATGTCTGCATCGATCCAGATCGCCTGCCCCCGCCTATATGAAAGAGAAGCAGATGGGATGATGGAAATTCAAGAAATAAAAATTGCTATCAAGTCCAAGGTGTTTCAGAATTCAAAAATGTATGGGAGGGAGATTGAAAATGATGAGGCAAGAACAATGAGAGTGTGCACCATTGTTGCAAATAGTAAACAGCTTTAGCAACATGGATGTACATGTGACATTTAAAAAATAAAATAAACTCAAGTAGAAATAAATGGAGGCTTGGTGGGTGTGTGTGTGTGTGTGTGTGTGTGCGCACGTGTGTGTGTGTGTGTGTGTGTGTGTGTGTGCGTGTGCATGCAAGTGCATGTGCTTGTCTGAGGCTGCTTCTCCTCCGAGACAGTTTGATCCCTGACCCTGAAACTTTTAAACTTATGTTTGTGTCTAAGGTAGCCTGCATTTACAGGTTAGAACAGAAGGATCCGGGTCTTTGACTAGTCAATTAATAGGAATAAAAAGGATTCCAAATTTCTTTAACAGCATCGAAATATTCAGCAAAATCATGAGCTGTTAAGCCAGGGGTGCACAACTCAAAAGACTGAGAGCCACTTTTGACTTTTCATCACATTCCATGGGCCACAGTCTGGCTGACCATAGCTGTAGCCAACAGGGCAGGAACCATAGTGTTTTTCACTTGATAAAGACAATTTTTCACTTGACTCAGACACACGTGCATGGGACATTCCTCATGCATGGGTGTCGAAGTCAAGTGAAAAAGTGTCTAACTCAAGTGAAAAACACTGTAGTAGCACTTATAATGCTACCAGTCATGGCGGGCAGCAAGCAAGGACCTCATGGGCTGTATGTTGTGCATCCCTGTGCACAACATATGGCCCCTGTGCTCATCTTCATCATCCAAACAACAATAAACTACATATCAATGCCTTTTGTATTTCATCTGAGCAGCATCACTTTCAGACTGAAGATGACATACAATAGAATGTTGTCGAAAAAAATACTGTTGAATACTGACTGTCAAATATTAACCCTTTCTGCTCCTTTGTCAAACTAGGTTCACCATCAGTTGTAGTGCTGCAGAATGACAGAGGAAAGAGGTAAAGTACAAGGTATGATCAGCAACATTCCAATCATATTTTTTCCATCATAACTCCAGTGTGCCATTCCAGGTGGTCCAGGACCAAACTTGAGGAATTTGGCATTCATGTCCAAAACTTTGGCAGGACAGGGTGAAGACATGAATCCAATTGAGTGTGTCTTAGATATTATTGGTATAAGCATGACCAAGTAACACTCTATGAACAATAAAGGGTGGCTTGAAGCTGTTATGGACATCTGGGATATTCCACTTGAGTGAATGTAGTCAGGGTGGTGGATTGGTTGAGAGCATGCTGGGACTTGTAAATTGCCTTCTGGGGGCTAAAGAGGGGCACCATCCCTTATTAGGATGCATTTTTTACCATGTAGACAAGATCACATAAATTATGAAATTGACTCGTCTGCATCATTTTACTATCAGTGCAGGAAGGTTTAACTGCCACTGATACATTCAAGGGCAAGTTATAAGCTGGAATGCAAAATATTTCATGCAAAAACTTGATATTTTTTTGGTCAGTAGAGTAATGTAGAAGGAACATAACTGTGCACCTATGAATAATTTTTTACTCACTCAATGAAATTCAATGAATACTTGCTTCAAGACAAAATAACTTCATCAAAATTATATGAAAATGGCAAAGTAGTACTGGAGACTACACTTTCCATGTGTGGAAGCATCCCAGATGTGTGTTTCTCGACATTTGACTGACCTTTGTTGCAAAAATCAAGCATTTTGGACCACTGGCTCAGCTGTTCCATAATACCAACATGACTCATGCCTATTTAAAAAAAAAAATTTTGGGAAACATGTAAGTATACAGTTGGAAATCCCTTTAAATGTTAGGTTAAGATACTATATGGTGAAAAGTACCCAGAGTTAAAAAATAGTTGAGGTAGCATTGGCCAAACTCACAAATGTATTTTTTCTTAGCTTCAGTCTAACAATATGAGCAGGGTCTGTACTCTAGATTTTTACATATTGGGGAAAAATCTATGAAAGAAATCAAACCAATTCAAGGCAATCAATTCCTGGTTAGGCGTGTTCCGCAAAGTTTCCTGATGACAAATCTGGTCATTGTTAGTTTGTCTAATGTCCCACTGATGCTAGAAGCTTCAAAGAGTAAAGCAGTGGCACAAGGCATAAAAGACACCTGTGCCAGAATGAGGATGGAAAAACCTGGACACCAGACAATACTCATGCCAAACAAAATGGTTAACACATTTAATGCTGTCAGTCATTTTTCGTTGTTATTTTCTCCTTGTGCCAGCCAATTTTGCTACCTGGATACAGTTTTCAAGTTACTGCACAAAACTTGCAACATCTCTAAAAGTATGAATCCATAGATCATGATCTGTATCAGACCAATCTTCCTCAGCAAACAATGTTCTGCATAGGTCTGGATTTATGTAAGTTCACTGCATTCTGATGGTGTAGACATGACCTTATTGTGTGTGGTGCTATAGTGATAATGGCTGTTATGCCTCTCATGTTCATGTCCATTCCTTTGGCTTAGTCATAGCCTGTTTGCCCATAGTTACTTTATTGTTTGTCAGCTATAAACTCCAAATGTATTAGAAATGTTTGGACAAAGAAGCACAATCAATACCCAAAAGCTAAAAAGCCTATTTTCTCCTCTCATAGTGTGATGCTATGCCATTGACAGCTGAAAGATGGGCTACTGGTTAGATATAAAAAACTATCATTGAGAAAAGTTATGGAAAGATAAAAGGGAAAAGCATACCCGCCACCAATGGTGATCATGTGTTGATCAGCAGCCATGAAGAGCTGGGCAGCATGTCTCATGCATGAAGGGCCTTCCACATCCTGTTGTTGCTTTATCCCAACCCAAGCATACTTCATTGCTCTGGGGTGAAGTGTAAACACAAATGTCTCCCCAGTCCCAAAGTATGTGTGCTTATAACCTGTGATCTCATTCTTCCTCTTCCGCTCTCCCCATGGGGCTGAACAGTATGCACCAAACACCTTTGGAAGAAAAGGAATCTCACTCAATTATCTGTGACAGGGAAATACACTAACCTGAGGATTACTTGACAAACTTCATCATTGTGGGACTTGATCAGAAGAACAGTGGCCTCCTGTTCTTCAACCCTGGAGAAGAAGGTTGTGATGGAGCAGCCATGTTCTTCTGTTGTATATAGGAGTTTTGGCTGGTACATGGTCATACGTGTTGGGAGCCATGACCATAGCATCAGCAGCTGCAGCACAAACAACACCAAAAAAAATATTATCACAGCATCCAAATCCACTGTAAAACCAAAAAAAGTATGAAAGCACACATACACACACATGCACATGTGTAGGTTGACATACATAAACGTAGGGGTATACTGGAGACAAACGAGATTACACAGGGCAATTCTCACAGAATGATGCAAGCACAATCACAAACCTCAAACATAACATATATGCAATACAAGAGCACTTGAAGGCAAACACAGACAGTGATTGGCTTGGTTCCATTCTGGAATGGACACAAAGGACTCAGCTGTCTGAAACACCTCTCTCACCTGAGGCTTGGAGATGGTAGTGAGAGAAACATTTTTCAAGGGCATGAAGTCAATGGCTGACAGAGAGCGAGACCCTTGGACTCCCTCCTTGTCCACAAAGGCAGCATGGCAAAAATTGCCCACAAATTCATTCTCATGCATTAGTCTTCTGTCTACTGATTATTTACATCTTGGATAAACATGTGGAATCCTTCATTTAGAAGAAGCTCACCTCTGGAATGGGTAATGTGTGAGAGATCATCTTCATGTGGGCCTGAGATTGGCACGTGGGGAGGTCCATGGACCGGGATCGAGTGATTCGAGGTGAGGTGGAACCAGAACCTCTCCGAGACCGCGAGTTCAACCACACCTCTGTCTTCCACCGTAACCGCTCAATTTCTTGACGGCTGAATCCTCGGATTGAGAAAGACCACTTCAACAGTTTCTCTGTACCCACCTGCAAAAAGAAGAGGCTGTTGACACCTTGCATTCCCAAAATGGAACATTCTCTTTGAGTAAGTAGACAGACAGGAATATTTCTGGAGAAGTGGGAGATGGCCTCTGGGAGGTTGTTTGCTTCTGAAGTTGAGACCAGATGCCCTTGCTTGTAGAAGAGGAGAAGAATGGCCAATGCAACACGATACAAGACCTTGGGCCCTTCCAACAGGTAACAGTCTATCACACGGACCTATATAAGAGGAATTTAAAAAGACTCATTGTCTTTCATTAACCCCTTGAGTATTTGAGACAAGCACAACTCATCTTCATAAAATCAGTAGTCTGTGTCACTGATAAGGAGTACTCACATATTTAATCTTAAATCTTCATTCACTCTCTCATCTGGTGCTATCCTGTGAGGACCTCATCCCTGTATTTTTTTTAATAATTATTTTTACCTTTTCTGATCATTTTTATTTTTATTTTTTACTTTCTTACCTAATTTCATTTAATTTTTATTTTTCAAGCCTTTTATTCCTGTTTTGTATATACTTTTCCCCACCAATTTGCAAGAAAACTTTATTCCCCCAATGATCTATATCCATCTTTCCCATTTTGACTTGATATTTTTTTAAATACTGGATCTTCTATCCCTTGAAGGAGGAGGCCTTGTGCTTCTGGAAAGTTGGTTTTACCTCTTCATTAAAGTGACCAGTTCCCTGTCACTCTATTAAGCATAAGCTCTACCCTTGATTTCCAACATGAATATTGAAAAGCGCTCTCTTGCAAAAGTATTTCCTCTCACCCCTATAAACAATACATCAATGTATTATGGAATTGAAGCTCCTTCCATTGAGTGAGGTACCAAGTTCATTATCAAGTATTAGTCCGTACTCAATATCTGTGTCTCAAAAACGACAAAATCGATCGTAAAACCACGAAATCAACCCAGAGAGATTTTCATCATGAGCCAATACACAAAGTGGCTCTTCCTAAATTGGGCACGTCTTCATGCAAATTTAGCTAAACTTTTGTGCCAGAGTCCCATTATAATGGTCAGGTTACATTCTCTAAAGCCAGGTGGCGAATGTGTCCCAAGCAATTGAAGAATATGCCTTGTAAATGAGACATGAACCCCTCTTGTTCCCTATTAGCCAGTCACCCAGGATGGTTGTGGTGAATGCCTCCATGGATGTGAAGAGCAGAGGGTGAGCATTCCCCCTCGAGGAATCCATGTCTAGACTGCGGAGGAAGGGAAGGTGAAACACTAAGAAACCAGACAGTGAAGGCCTTTTCCTTCCATGATGTGGAACTGACTTAATTCAAAAATGACTTGTATTCTATGACCTGTCCATGCAAATGGCTGGGTATGCTCTGCTGCATATAATCAGGAATGTAAACTCTTTAGTGGGTCATGTACAGTTTGTCAAAGAATGTTCCTGCAATATCATGTCATAGACACATCTTGGCCTGCAACACAGTGTCAATGGGAGCCGATAGAGAACCCAAGCTATCTCTTGACCTCTGATTTGAATAGAGAGAAGTTAATTCAATGGGACGGGTATCAGGGAATCATTTATCGGTGAGTCATACAGCTTTTCATTATGAAAACAGCTCTGTTTTTCTGGCCCAATCATGGCCTCATTTCATCAAAAAAGTTTCCAAAGGTTTCTATAGTGAGACCACCATTCATCATCTTCAAATGCACTGAAATCCATGCATGGGAGAAATCACAGCAATTAGAGTCATGCTCTTTTTGAGTATCAACCCATTCCGGTTTCTTCAGTGGGCAAATATGAGAAAGCCTAACTGCAAACATATTTCAGTGTGGAAATTGAAGCCAAAAACCCTTGTATCAGGAACTGAATGATTGCATGCTTTGGCTCATAGGTCCATGACCATCGTACTGAATGAGACACCAAAATCTATTTCCTGTAGATGGGTAGATATCTTACTATTGATAGACCCTGTTTGCATCCAAAGAAAAATGATCTGACACTTGTGAGGAAGTTTCACTTGGTGTCCCTCTCCATCCTATGAGCCACCTTTGAGGAAGTACTCATCTCTTTCTTAGAGGATGTTCTTTTATGCATGTTATACTGAAAACTTGCTTTCACATCATCACAGACAGGTCAGAGAAGAGAGGTCATACTGAATGAAGTCATTCTTTCCATGGGGAAAAAGGAATCAGGAAAGAATCTGTCCTTTACTGTTTGGTTTCTCATTGCTTCCCCTCTAGTGTCTGGATATGAATTTCTTTCAGGGGTATACTCACCCTCGCCTCATCACATCCATGAAGGAAGTTATGAGTAACAAGTGATGTGATCCATTTATTCTATTCCTATCACCTAAATGTAGAATTCTCACCCCCCATGACTTCCCCTTGACCTTGAACTGACAATTCCCTCATTTGCTTTCCTGTCCCCAGGAGAAACTGCAAGAACTCATTGATGAAATGGTGGAGGCCCAGAAAGTATCCATCCTGGAGAGGAGACTATGTCTGGAGGAGGAGGATGGTCGTATTAAGGGAAGAAATGAAGTCATGGGAAGCTCAGAGTTAGAGTAATTGTTCAGAGGAAGAATTGAAGGAAGGGACCATGAAGCTGTTGCATTTGGCCGTGAGCACATTAGGATTCCTCTAATGTTGAAGTCCCCCCAAAAAAACATATTCCCCTGCATAAAGTGATCTCAGTTCCTTACAATTAAATAAATTAGGGAACAGGAGTCCGCATCACCATGCTCAAGGAACACTATGTTGAGGAAAGATGGAGAAAATAATTTTAGGCTATTGGGAAATGGAGACAAGGTTTATGACCATTGCAGGCCTGTCACTTTCCATGACAGGCCTGACATGGGGAGAAAAGCCTGCTACTACAATCTCAGAGTATGTTATCTGTACTGTGATGCTGCTTTTTTCATGTTATTTTAAGTCATCTTTCAAATCTCATCTGTGTGCATCAAGGAGCATGTCTCAAGTAGGAGAATGGTGCATGAGAATGAGAGTGACACACACCAAATTAGCTAAATATATATATTTTTATTACAGACAACGACAATGTTTTGAAACGGTATGACCACGCAGATGTCTCGAGGCAATGAATGCAGAATGCAGAAAGTGAAGAAAGATAAAAAAAGGGGGGAAAGTTAGTTCTTCTCAATCAGATAAGAGACCCAATGGAGGTAGATGGATTTTTAAGAAATGCTTTCCATCGGAGTGAGCGCTGAGGGGAATGAAGGGCAGGGAGATGCTATGCGACAGTAATGCAACACCTTCGCCCTAGCTCATTTTTCAGGAAGGATAGGACCCCCTACTCCAGGGCCTCCCTCTGGATTGTGACAATACCTCCAGTGAAACAGCAGCAAAGACTATGTCATACCTAGAAGAAACTCCTGTTTGCATGGTGACTCATCCAGCCTACAATCATGATCAGGCCTCTTGCAGTTACATTTTTGTAGTTATATTTTTACATTGGACCCAGAAGAAAACAAAAGTAGGATTACAGGATTACAGAGAAAAATTTCATGTGACTTCTTCCTGGCCTTGCCTGTCCTTGCATTTGTCCCACTCATTAATATTTTGTTCTGGTTTAGAGAAACCATCACACTCTTGACACATTATTCTACTCTCTCACCTGACATGTTGGATGGCACACCCAACACACACAATTCACTTTTGGTGCCACTTCAAATTGGTGATAAATTGGTATATATTTTATTCTGCACCATTCCCCAAAGTCATATGCTTACACTTTTATTATTTTACCCAGTAAAAATGGCTGCTTCATAGGAAAACTAGTGAGTTGCCCCTGCTCACATTGTCAGACTTTTTGTCTGAAGAAGTTCATACTACAAAAAGATGAACATTTTAAAAACAAATGTAGTGATTTTGACTCAACAGAATGATGGGCAACCCATTTATTGATCATTAACTTCAGACTTCATTAACCCCTTCACCACCAGCGAATTTTCATGAAAAAAAGTGATTTTTGAGAAAATGTACCTGCTGAATGGAATTGCAAGACACTACATATCAACAAGAAAAAGAAGTATAAAACATATTTATATTTGTAGAGACTTTAATTTCCTGTAGTTTTGAAGTCCCAGTTCAGTTTGTTGCTAAGTTTTGTGTGGTACTTATTATATCCAAAGCATACACATCAGTCTTCACATATTATTACAGTTTTTATACAATGTTCTTGTCTCCTGTCTGACCCTGCCTTCCATGACAAAAATAGAAAAAAACACCGTCCTATTTACAAGACATCAGTTCCTGTCGTCATTGTTCCTAGCTCACTTAGTAATTCAGTTTAGTCTGGTAATCTCCAAAGCATGGCACTGTGCACAGAGCACCATCACACTCTTGACACATTATTCTGCTCTCTCACCTGACATGTTGCATGGCACACAAAACATGCTGCTTTGTAAGGAACTTATTCTTTCCTGTAGTGGGTACATAGTCTGGGATATGCCTTTGTCAGACAAAGGTGTTGCAATGCTCTGTCATCCTCCAGTGTGCTTTGGATAAGGTACATGGTACATCTGTAGGATTTCATGAGCATAAGTTCATTGAACTCTTGAAGTGTGAACTGAACCTAATGCTCTCATCATTATCTTCAAAGTCTGAAAGTTCACTACCTTCTTCTATGATGAATTCAAAGTCCTTTTAATCAACAGCTTTCTTTTTCCCTAGGTTTTTGTGGAGGAGCAACTACTCATTGAAGGCATAGGGGAATCCATTTTGGAATGGTAACCTCAAGTCCAAACAAGTGAGAAAACTTACCAACACTTACAAAATATGGGATACAAAATTACTAAAAATGACAAACAATAACCTTGCAACCCTGTAGGACCTCAATACCTTCCCTATATAATATTAGATGTCACTGGAAAGATTGGATAAATGTCACAGTGAACAGCAGCGTAGACATCATGTGAAACAAGATATCTCGTGTGGTGGAGGGGTTAAACATGGTCAAATCATAAGAAAGATTTAAAAATGGCAATATTAACTGAATAGCTTCTTAAGCTCTGAAGTTCTTTTATAGACTTGTATACAAAGTGTGATCAAAATGTTCTAAGACTTAATTTTTTATGACCCTGTGGTGACTCTTTCTGACTGCTGATGGTTATATCCTTTAAACTAGTCCTCTTCGGCATCTGCACAAATTTTCCGGTGTTTCTCCAGCCACCAGAAGCACTGCTGGCACTCACCTTTTGGAGTCACCAGCAGCGCTCAAGGTGTGTTTACAATTTTGCTATGAATGCCTGAAATCTCCTTCATTTCAGCACATTCTTTAGCTTAGGGAACAAAAAATAAATTACTAGGAGCTAAATTCGGCGAGTTGGATGGATGATGAAGCATGGAATTGCGGAGTAGGTCAGAAAATGCTGAAATTGCAAAAGAAAGGAAATCTCAGAACATTTAAAACATCATTACAAATGCACTGCGAGCGCTGCTGGATTCCAAAAGATGAGTGTCAGCAATGCTTCTGGCGGCTGAAGAAACACTGGAAAATTTGTGCAGATGCCGAAGAGGACTAGTTTAAAGGATATAACCATCAGCAGTCAGAAAGAGTCACCACAGGGTCATAAAAAATTAAGTCTTAGAACTTTTGATCACACCTCGTATATACAACTGCTATTGGGATTAGACTCACAAGATGTGGGAAAGGGAGATCAGCGAAAATCCACCAGAGCCAGCCTTCAAAGAGATGATCCAGCTTCTCTGGATTATTGAGAGATGCATTCAAGTGACTCCATGCTGGCTTCTAGGCAAGTGAAGAATTCATTACTACCTATGCTGGTGCACTCCTAACTAGCATCACAGAAACAAACTCCAAAGATAGTATGGAGGACTCACAGCATACTTCTTACACAGGTGGAGGAGGGTCCGCCAGCGACATTCATATGCCAGTTTGGTCTGAGTCACTGTCTTTCCAGATAGAAGCATGTTTACACACATGTAGGCAGCATCCTCTGCAAAAGCACAGCTAATTCAGGCATGGATATTGGGAAAACTATTGGAAAAAAATTAGTGGGCTTACCAGGCATATAATGCAGCATGATTGCCGTCAGTGGGTAGAGTAGAGGAGAAAAGGTGATGTCTGGGTAGGAATAGCCAAGGACATAAACAATGCGCAGAGCCACTTTTCTCCCTTTCTCATTCAGAAATCGTTCTTCCACGTGCTCTCGATCCACAAAGGCAGGAAATGCTAACTTCTTATTCTCTTTCAAAAATAACAAATAACCAGGATATACATAGCATATCATTCACATCTATCACCACCAAAGACGATGGACATCATTCAGTGGCAATTCATTTAGAACTAGGTCCACTGGTATTTCAAAATTTTGTGATGGGGCACAGGATAAAACTTGAATTATACTTTTAAACCTTTTCCTGGCAGGGCTACCTGAATGTTTTGAGATTGATGTAATATTACATAGACATAATGTTACACTGATGACAGTGAAAGGGTTAAAATCAAAAGTCAGAACTAGAGATTCTTACCAGCATCACTCTCTGGAAAGAGTTGGGCAGCAGTTTCCTCATAGTAAGTATCATGTATATGAGATGATGAGTGAAGGTACTTCATGATTTCATGCCAAAGGTGGGCCCGAATTGGATCATTCCAACCCCAGCCTCCATTCCTCAATCCTTTTTTTACCTACATCAAAGGTATCAACTTTATTGCTGAAATGGTCATGAAGAGATGACAGCTCAAAAGTGATGCAACTGACTTCACGATGTTTCCCCAACTTGAGGATCGCCTGAAAGGCATTCCAGGAAGGGGGTTTCTCCTTGGAGGGAGGGAGACTTACTGGAAGGTCATTTGGGACATTAACCAGATATGTGAGAGGTAGATTAGATTGGTGATCCTCTGACCCTCTCCTGGTCATCTTACTTTTTTCCTTTCCTTCATTCAATGCTCTCCAAACACCGCACAATTCTGCTCTGTGAACTTGTCAACATCATAATTCAAGCACAATGCTTGCTTGTTCATCTGTCAAATAATTAATACATCCCATGATCAAATGCAGGAAAAGGTCTGAACCATGGGCAACAAAACTCAAAACATACTGGGTGCCTCAGGACTTAACTGACAAGAACTTCATTTTCTTTTTTTATCAATGTATATGACTATAAGCTAGTCTAAAGGTTCATAATATTCATAAATATAATAGTAGAGCAGACTACCACTTGCTAAGAGTGAATAAAGCAGGTAGAGTTTAATGAGTGGAAGAAATGCTAGCATTTCATCATCCACAGTCTCCTTGGTCTTCTTTATTGCAGTGTTCCCTCTTTTAACCAAAAACTTCACAGTGGGATTGAGATGCATTCACATGTCCTGACGAAAACTCTTCAGTGGATACATGTATTTACATGGTTTACACTGTGGGGTGGTGACAAATGACTGATTTTGATTGTCATCCCGATACCTTCCTCCTTTTCCTCCCCTGAGTCAAAAAAGGGATGTGTCCTGCTTAATCACACAGAACTATAAATAAGGGTTTCAAAAATTTTGAGGACTACTTACTAGTCTGATCTAAAGCAGGAGGAAAAAGAATAAGGAAATATATACATGAAGAAACAACCAGAAGAGGAAAAACTTGAAGGAAATTCTATTAGCTGCCATGTTTCAATTAGTTGTCACACTTTTGTTCCAAGTTTTATTTTCGGTGTGCCAAAGTTAGTGATACTTGTACAATAATACGAGCTCTCTCACTTACCTTATTAGGTAAGTGAGAGGACTAGACTAGTTCTTGGAATGGTTTTTGTTATCTTGGAAAATCTCTTAAATATCTGCTGCAAGGAAGTAATTTTTTCCAACAAGTTATTGCGTTCATAGCAGTAAAAAGTTATGAATGACCAATGTAATGTTACTCATTACAATTGAGTTACTCATTACATTACAATCAATACAAATATGTGGAAAAATCCTATCTCTAATAGATCCCACTTTCACCAGGTGAAGCATTCTCCATTTCTAAACACCCAGGAAGAGCCAAATTGCCAATAGAATGAGAAAGAAAATGTTTGCTTATTGATGAGAGAGTAACTTTTGGCAACAGAATCATCACCATATGATATCTCTAGTAGTGTGAGACGTAAGATATGGTCATAGACTAACATAACATTTGTTCCAAATAATTTCTACAAAAAGTCAGTGGGCAGTAAAAGGAGTAAAAATAGTTCATTTCTCTTGACCTATTCAGAATCATATTCAATTATTTCCTGCTTATTTTTCTAGATTCTTTTAGCATAAGACATTCATAATCACTCAACATGGAAATGAACTATTAGCTTCAAGATTTCTTTTCATGGCACAATCTACATCTTTCATACAGTTATCTGGATAGCAATGCCGTTAAATGTCCAGGTTGGATATCCAATTGATGACTTCTGGAGAAACATTGCGGATTGCTGTGATTCCTCCAGGAGAAGGGTCTTTTTGAACAGGAATGAGTGAGATGGTCCATGGTCTGTTGACTGGAACCACAGTTGCAGCTTGGATCTTCTTTCATCCTCCATTTGTGGAGGAGACAATTGCATCGGCCATAGGATTTTCAAAATCTATTTAGAGAAGTCCAGGTCGTGCGTGGTAGGGCAATATCAGGTGGTTTGGTGGAAGGGTCTGAGATGATATATTTGTTCAGTAGGTGCCACTTATCTTCAGTGGATTCAGCAAGAGTTCATCCTGTGAGCTAGAATGGGTTTCTGGATTTCAGTTGTAAGTTGGGCGGGTTGGTCAGTTTGTTGTAGATTGGTAGTTCTGGGTTGTGTTGGATATATTGATACTTGCTTAGGGTCTGTGTTTGTTGGCAGATGTTTAGCAGGTGGATATGGGCTAAAATGGGAAGCCAAGGAGTAGATGTCATTCTCAATGTTCCCAAATTTATCCAAATGGTGTTGAGCTGGGGGTCAACAAGCTTCATGTGAGAGCTATTTCCCCTGATGGCACAACAATTATTGGCCATCAAAAAGACAAGAGCCAATTCTGAGGTTCTGAGGGGTTTTGCATTGGTGCCCCATCCTGTACTTGCTATTTTCTGTATTATGCTCATCCATGTCTTGATTTTCTCATGGACGTACTTCAGGCATTAGGGGTATGTTAAGCTGTGGTCCAGCGTAACCCCTATATACCACAGATAGATCATGATGGAGATGGAGTAGCATGGCATAATACTAGCTGTCATTGGGCAACCAATTGGTTGCCATGATTACAATTGGATGGACAATCTCTGGTTGAACCTGCTTGGCTTCAAGGTAAGTGCCTCATGAATGACTTAATTGGCAATTAAGAATTTTTACAAGCCATATTCTTTTCAGCAATCTTTGTGCAGCAAAGGAAGGTACAATTTTAAGGCCATTTTGATTCTGAAATCATTGGATAGATCTCAATTTGCTAAATCCAAATATAAAAGAACCAATAATAATAACAATAATATATATATATATATATTTTTTTTTTTTTTTTTCACCTTCCTTCACCCCTTGTAGGAATTTTTGAACATCTGAATCCATAATTCTACTTAGTTTTTCTATTATTTCCCTCAAATGAGGGGTAATTCTCCCTGTCTTCAGTTTCCAATGGCCACCCCCCCCTTTTTTTTTCAAGTACGAAGTGAAATCAATAGTGTACATCAGCCAATGCAAGGAGGTGTGCTCAGTAAAGGCTACCTTTCTTTCTTTCTGCAGGCTTAATTTCCACAGTTTAGCCAATTTCCATCAGGTTTGGTTCGGGAGCAGGATTTATTTATTTCCCCATCGCCTAGATTGGTTTGGGTTGGACTGGCACCATTGGTAATTCCTTTTTACTATATATATTTATATATATAATATATAACACCTTAATAACCATATATAAAATATAATACCTTAATAACTATATAAAATATAATACCTTAATAACTATATAATATATAACACCTTAATAATAATATATAATACTTTAGCATGGTCAGCATGCAAAGGTAGTAGAAAAGCCATGCATAGACAAGATCTTCATCTACCAAGACCAGACCATCAGGACCAGGTATTATGAACGTCATGTCATGGGAAAGGAAGTGAATGACACCTTTTTTCTGTTTCCCTAATCTGTCTATGACTAATTGGCTAGTTTTTATCCCCCCAGGTAGTCACGGAGACAAGAAAACGAAAAAGTCGTGATGATAAGCCACCTCAATTTCTGGTTCTGACTAATGAACTTGTTCAACCATTCATTATCTACAACTTTTTGCGTGGCTTAAAAGCTAAACCTTGCATATGAGTTGAAAACTGTGCTTGGGGACAAAGCTCCATCTCTGGAGACTGTGTCAAAATGGTTTTGGCGATTTCATACTGGACACTTTAGCGTCCAAGATGACCCGTGCAAGGGACACCCCTGAACGGCGGCTGATGAACAAAATGTGGCGGCTGTGAAGGTGGCAGTTGACAAAGATGGTCAAATGACACTGGAAAAACTTGATCAGACTCTTGGAATAAAAGCCAACTCAACTTGGCGCATTTTGACTTAGGAACTTGGGTATAGCAAGAAGGTGGCTAGATGGGTGCCTCATTTGCCATTTGTCATTTGACTGTCTTCATCAATCGCCGCCACATTTTGTTCATCAGCCGCCATTCGGAGGCGTCCCTTGTACGGGTCGTCCTGGATGCTAAAGTGTCCGGTTTGAAATTGCCAAAACCACTTTGACAGTCTCCAGAGACAGAGCTTTGTCCCCAAGCAAAGTTTTCAACTCATCGAAGCAGTGTTCCACCTTTTCCTGTCTGCATGACTACCAGAGGGGAAAAAAACTGTCAATTAGTCACAGACAGATTAACACGTTGATGACCAGCCTATTTTTGCTTGTCCGCCGCGTGGGACCACGCGCATTTTTTTTTGTCAAAAAATGCATCCTGCCATCAGGAAAACGTTCTCAACAGTTCCAGAGGGTATTCATTGAAAATGAAATCTGCATCCTGGCATCAGGACGCATTGTCGCCAACGTGTTAAGGAAACGGAAAAAAATTACATCCAACTTGCACAACAGTCACCAGGCAACTCAGGGGACTTTTCAAAAACCCCTCGTATATAAACCTTTTTCATATGAAAAAAAATAAATTTATGGATGATTTTTTGCAAGGATACCCATGTCTATCATTCCAAGGTGACACTGCAGTATTCAACATTGTCCCCCTGTGAGTCCATGAACTTACCACTTGAACCAGTGAGTGTAAAGTTAATGGATGTATATCTGTAGTCTACTTATCATGGGACTCATGACAATGTCCCAAACACCAAATGCATGCATCTTCTACATGAATTGAGCCACAGGAAGAGGAAAAAACACAGGGTGAGTCCAGTGAATAGGGTGGATGGTTGATGGTGGTGATTAAGTGGCAAGTGAATAAGTTGGATATAACACATGCATGAGCACATTGCTTGCTAATTTTTTTTTACAACCTTTTAGCATGCCACTTAATCACTGCCACCAGCTAGCCCCTCTTTTTCACTGAACTTGGCACTCTGTAACTGTTTCCTCTTCCCTCACCTCAATCTCAATTCCACATCAAAGAGATGCAGATTTGTTAATTGAGATACATTTATTTTGGAAAACAATAGGGTAAACTGTCCTAAGTTAGGGAATTACCTAAGTTCAAACACACTAAGGTCTCTTGTTGATAAATATGCATTCATGAAAATCATCAGAGAGATGACCCCAGATGACCATGTTACAAAGTGAAACACTTGCAGCAGCCATGATCACTGAGCATGGGCAGAAATGAATGTCATGTCACAGACAGGAGAAATTCAAGAAAACATATGGAGACAACCTTACTTGAGAAATGCTTCGCTTGTGGTATTATTAATTCTTTGATTGTATCTTCTTCCACAGGAAACTAGAAAAATTAGAGCACTGCTACAAGGGAATACAAATGCCAAGAGCAGATTTCTGCTTAACTTTTTGTGTCCAAACTACATTGTGTTCCAACTTAATTTTTCTGCATCTAAGTTTGGACACCCACATAAT